GAAACTTCGGGCTACAAAACGCTCTGTCACAATATTTTTTATAGCTATTTTTCGCGAAGATATAGGCATCTGAAAATGACCAATATTTTCGGCAAATTTTAGTGATGCTTTAATTTTGGCGCCCAGTATAGTTAGAATCCACTGTACTATCTATTTTCATATTATAATGTACTTTCATCATTTCTGCCAGTCGTGGATCATTATTTAGTGGATCACACCTAATTGTTCGTAGAATAGGACTTGTAGTGTGTGACTTTACATTTTTTGTTTAGAATAGACTCGGTTTCACTACATGTATTCCTTGAGAATATATTGCACCAAAGAGAGAAATTTTTCCGTTGTATAAACAACTTTTCTAAGCGAATGACCTTCTTCTCTCAATTTGACAGTTTACTCACAAATTGCAACTGGTATTACCAGTATGGAAAAAGTACTTTCTGCAATCTCATTTCTACTTGCTTGCAAGCGAAAAACGATTATAATTCGAATTTGCCTTTTAAGCATTCTCTGAACCTTATTTATAATCTTCTTAGATAGTATACGGAGACTTTATTCACCGTAATTTTGTTAAGTTTTGAATTGAAATTTTATCAACAAACTACACGTCTGATTCACACAAAATTTAGTATAACCTTACAGTATAATTCCTTAGGAATTGAAAATAATACAGACCTACATGTCTTACTAACATTTATTCCAACCATATTATTCGGGATTACAATATTGAAAGTATGGTGTACGAAGATTTTTTTAACTCACCATATGTAAATCGTGGTAATAATGACAAAAATAAGGGGAAAAATTTAATCTCAATCTCTGCCACAGTCTTTCCGACCAGTCTGTTTTAGTCATTTTTGTTATTTTTAATCAATGCTTCATTATTCCGAGTGCTTTGTATAAATATAGGTTCAGGTTATTACTCGCAACGGTTCGAAACAGAACACAACATAGCCAGATGGTAGAGACGAGAGAATATAATGCCGGTGGTGGGGAATTTGCTTCATTCGCCCAGCTTCTTACTCCCTTGCCATTCGCTTACGACCAAACCAAGGTCGTCGCGCAACGTATTATATGTATATCCACCAACCGGAGTGTAAGTCAGTTCAACCGTATTGGCGGACCTCTGTTTCAGAATGTTATTAATATACTTCATGCCGGATATTGTTTTATTCGTCCTTTTTTTGTACACGTAATATCAAGTAATCTTCATAGTTTGTAAGCCGATATACCATTTAAATTGTCTTGTTATCAATTGAACCGTGTGTGTCATGTAGTTCGTAATACATCTATTTAATTGTTTCCTTTTTGTAAAGAATAAGGGACAAGTGGACATAACTTTTAGATGTTGCGACATTATTTTTGTACATGTCTGTTAATTGCATGTGACATGTCCAGTACACCTTCTTCGGTTGAATTTCGTGGGGTCGTAAATCTGTCTATTTCATTTCCGAAGTTTATTCTGAAATTTCCTGCTTCTTTGAGTTGGTCATCAAATCTGTATCCGAAAATCTCGAAGCATGCGAGATTATTTACAATAATTCAATAAGTCAGTTTCGGTTATTCATGAACTTTTACTTTAAACCCTTTCATTATTTGTTATCGGAACTATCCAAATGGTTATAAATAATATTCATGTATCGCAGTAAGATATTCTATACTCTAAAATATTTTTTATCTACAGAAGACAGTTGGATCGAAGGTGTAGTTTTACAATTACAGCAAATATCTGATTGCGAAGCATAAAAAGGCCATCGTAAATAACGAAACAAACTAATTGTACTTCCGTGAAACTTAGTATGCAAATTAATATGTTACATGATTTCTACACCAAACTATCTCTTTAGATTTCTAACGTAAAATGTAAAAGTGTGTAACAGTAGGAACTTATCATTATTTAACTGTATTTATCGTAAATATGGAAAATTCAGGAAAATAGGTTCAAATGTTTCTGTATTCGTCACGCAAGTGGTAAAATCCATTGTAAGAGCATTCGTACTGCTTTTTGTACCTTCTTCCACGAAAAGGAATTTCCGTATCGGATCTGAATCCTATCGGGGCCCGTAAGAGATAAGAAATCACCGGCTGATTGCCGTGTTCAGTACACGCAGGGCCGTCGAACTGTTGCCGGATATCCACGAGCGTTCGTAATTTTGGCGTAATGGATGCGAAAAAAAGTACAAGAATAACGAGGCTCGTAAAACGTGGGCTCGCTACGGCGCTCGTTCGCGAAACCGTTAAAATACGACGACAACCGAGAGAAAAAGGTGTAAAGAGTCGCGCAGCCGGACCGAAGAGAAAATAAAGGTGGCAGAGTCGTTGTCGAATAATGGTGGGCGCACGAGTGGCGAACAGCATTATTAACGCCGATAATGGCCGTTGGCGCATTTAGTTAAACGTCAAGGCTCGCCCCAGAATTTTTCTATTGCAATCACTCGAACGTGCCATGGCTGCTACAATGCCCAGTCCTTCTGATGGCATTGTGGTTTCAGCTCGCTTGAGTTTATACAGGGTGTTTTATAAGCGGCTATCCCCATTTCGAGGATCAACATAGTCCCATTCTTGTACATTCTCCATTTTCTTAAAGTTTTAAAATTTCTTTGGCTTCCAAAATATTCTTTATATTTTGCTTGTCACAGACCACTCTTGTTTTTTTCACTTATGCTTTAATGATGAAATGGAGAATTCTTTAATAATGATTCATCGTTATTCCGATAAATCACCGGTTTAACAGTGAAATCTGGTGATACATAAAACAACGTTTCTTACGTCGAATCAAATAAGAAGCATAAAACCTTTCTTTAGATCTATTGAACAATAGATAAACAACTTTTATTATACAAACAGTATTAAATTATAAACTGTTCTAGGTAATACATTTTCGATAATTTGTGAAAGAATGTCTTAATCAAATATATACCCATGCCGCATTAGTGTAACAACAAAACATTTGAGAAATCTTTCTTCCATTTTGTGTGCTTTGGATAGCTCTATAAATTTGTCTTTGCGTCATCTTATTGTACCCCTTGTAACACCATCGTAATAAGCGTAATTACGTATTGTATAAGTTTGAAAACTGCGCAACTGTACTTGATGTGATTTGTGGGACACTAGTATGGGACACTAGTATGGAACACTGTACATACTACGGTATACTAATAAGTAAGCATATAAAATTGCTTTTTTTTAATATGGCATCTCTTTAATATAATTTCTCTGTATTCTAATTTTTATGTCCATGATATTTGGATATTTCTACTGTTTGGTAATGCAATCTAGTTCTTCTAAATCGTCACTATGTATTATGAATCCTCTGTAACAGTTTTTTTCATACTTCTCCCGTGTCGTCTTATAAATAAACAAAAAGGTGTTTGTGGCGACTAATCAAAATCAACTGTGGTATAGACTATGCAACTTCATTCCATGTACTTTCAGAATTCATCAGCGTTTATCAGTTCAGTATAACAATTATTTCTGTAGGTACGTATAGTACCGTAAAACTAATACTTCCGAAAACGCGTTTCATGGAAGCGATTATATCAATACTTTTCAGAAGTTTTTTTAAACAAATCTAAATAATTGTTAGATATAAGTACAGTAGACTTACAGTAGACTAGTAACATGATGCTACATGAACGTACTTACTCATTCTAGTCATTAAATGCAGCAATTAAATGGTTCGAAGTGGAACCAAAATCAAATATAATTGACTTACAATAACTAAAAAATTTGAATGAAATCACATTTGTATAATCTTTAAATCAACACAATCAATTGGTTTGTAATTAATCAAAAATATTTCGTCCACCATAATTAATATTTTATTTTATGTTATTGTTCTCTTTACATTATTTCATGTTCTATATTTTGTATTATTTTATATCTATAAAATAAAAAAATATATTTATGTTTGTGACGAAGTGAATGAAAAAGAATTAATTCACTAAACATTATAAAATCATTGTTTTTGTAAAATCGTTTCCGAAACAAAGGTTTGAAAGTTTAGTACATATAAGCAGAATAACGAGTAAATGTGTGATTGAATCCATTTATCTGAACGTAAGCTCCGGTTATTTCAGCGAACAGTCATACTATACAACTTAACTACTAAACAACTTTTTCCTTAGCGAAAATGTTATCTGAGGCTTTGTTAACGAGATATTAACGAAAAACCGCGACCAAACAGAGCGCGAGTTTGCCAGCCGAGTTCCCGCGCTAGCGGTGGCTACGCGCTACGCTTGTACTACGAAGCTCCGAACAAGTAGGTCACCATGCATCGCAGGAAACCGCGTATAATAATAGCAAATAAACAAGACGTAACAAATAAAATCATACCTTTTATCATCTGTCGTTTGTTATTTAAAGAGATTAATGAATGAAACGTACATGTAGGCAAATTATGTGTAACGTAAAAAGACGAATATACATTTACTTTTTTGTAAATTCCTTTTTACGAATTTGTAAATTTCCTTTTCGAATAACGTGTGAACGAAAAGGTAATGTAACAGAATGAACGAGAAGTGATCGTAATTCGGTATTGGTATAAAAATTCGTAGTTTAATAACGGTCAACAATGTTACTGATAATGAATAAGTTTCTTGAAAAAGTCCGAAGAAAAAGTTAGGTGCAGAAACTTGCAGAATTATCGTCGAAAATAAGCCATAGCTTACACATAATTTGCCTACATTTACGTTTCATTCATTAATCTCTTTAAATAACAAACGGCAGATGATAAAAAGTATGATTGTATTTGTTACATCTTTTTTATTTGCTATTATACGCAGTTTCCTACGATGCATGTTGATCAACTTGTTTGGAGCTTCGTAATACGAGGGTTGCCTCTTATATTTCGGGAATGGGCGATCCTAGTGCTGCCATCTGGAAACCGACGTCTCTGTCGTAAAGTTCGACTTTTTTGTCAGTATTCGTACTACGAACGTTTTGACGTACAGACGCTATTTGTGTTGTTTACAGTGACTCGAAAAATTTATCTCGGCCAAAAAATGGAGTTAACTCGTGAACATTTCCGTGCGATTATTTTTTACAATTTTCGACGTGGATTATCTCAACAACAATCAATCGATGAACTTAATTCGACTTTTGGCGATGAAGCACCATCAAAAACCACTGTATATCGGTGGTATACCGAATTCAATCGTGGCCGTCGTTCGCTCAGTGACGAATTTCGTGAAGGTCGTCCAAAATCGGTCGTTGTTCCAGAAAACATTGATGCTGTACGTGAACTGATATTGCAAGATCGTCATGTGACTTATCGTGAGATAGAGGCATCCTTGGGCATTAGTGGGACCAGCATACATTCAATATTGCATAAACATTTGGCCGTCAAAAAAATATGTTCGCGTTGGATTCCACATAATTTGACAATCGCTCAAAAAACGGCTCGCGTCGATTGGTCGAAAGAAATGCTAAAAAAATACGATCGCGGTGCTTCAAAACATGTCTATGACATCGTAACAGGTGACGAATCATGGATCTATGCGTATGAGCCCGAAAGTAAACAGCAGTCGACTGTATGGATCTTTCAAGATGAGCCAAATCCAACAAAAGTTGTTCGCGCACGAAGCACTTCGAAGCAAATGGTCGCCTGTTTCTTCGGAAAAACCGGGCATGTAGCAACTGTACCATTAGTGCAACAGCGAACGATCAATTCTGAATGGTACACAACCATTTGTTTACCAGAAGTCTTCGAAAAAATAAGGAAAACCAACCGCCGAAGACGGATCGTTCTCCACCAGGACAATGCGAGCTCTCACACATCGGCTCAAACGAGAGACTTTTTGGGAACTGAAAACACCGAATTGATGGGTCATCCGCCGTACAGCCCTGATTTAGCACCCAATGACTTCTTTTTGTTTCCGCACATCAAAAATAAATTACGAGGTCAACGTTTTTCGACGCCCGAAGAAGCGGTTAATGTGTTCAAAATGCATGTTTTGGAGATACCTCAATCGGAGTGGAAAAAGTGCTTCGAAAATTGGTTCAAGCGCATGCAAAAGTGCATCGATCTTCATGGAGAATATTTTGAAAAACAATAAAGCCATTTACGATGATTAATTTTTGTTTTTTTTCTCTATTCCCGAAATATAAAAGGCAACCCTCGTACAAGCGTAACGCGTAGCCACCGCTAGCGCGGAAACTCGGCTGCCAAACTCGCGCTCTGATTGGTCGCGGTTTTTCGTTAATATCTCGGAAACGTAGCCTCAGATTACATTGTTGCTAAGGAGAAAGTTGTTCCAATTCACCCCCCGAGTGCCCCATTTCCGGATCGGAGGACATTTTTGGAACACCCTGTATGTACCTATATCCCCTGACGGGTTCAAATAAATTGAGTTTTAATGTACTCCTTTGGAATGCTAAGAAATTTGCATTTCAGTCAGATTTATTCGCAGCAAAAGAAAATATCGAAGTTAAGTATATTTTTCGGCGTGGTGAGCGCATGTACCTTCTTGAGAGCACCCTATACAACCGTTGCACGACCAAGAAATAGAGGTCCTCGAGGGAATCAGAAAGGCCACCTGTGTTAACGATCACGGGAAGAAGTACATATTATGTATATGTATGTAGAGGGAAACGGTGTGAGGTCGGTAGGGAGACGCACAAAGAAACTCTTAAACTTTCGGCTGCATGCGTCGCTTTCTGCTTCCTCGAGGGACACTCGAGCAAGGAGAGCAGGTTCCCGTACGGTCCGCCATCCCCGACGTTTTTATGCCGGCCACTTAGCTACCGATACGAAACAATGCTACACTCTAGCGGCGTATACATAACAATAACGTCGCAGAGCGGTGAGTTTAAATGGTGCGTGGCTCACTCCTGATCAATTGTTACCATCGAACAGCGATCCTTTCGGTCTTTCTCTCTCGTATTTAGAGTCATTGTTCCCCCTTCTTCCTTCGTAAGTGAACGCAAAGTGGCGAACGCGATTCGCGAGCCAGGCTCCACTATCGAAACATTTTTAATACGCTCGACTTACTTCTCTCTTTTAACCACTTTGTTCGTTAATCGTTGCTCTGGTCGCGTGGTAAACGGAACGAAGCTTTTGTTAGGTCACTGGCTCACCCGCCTTGACGTGTGCTTTTGGAGACACGAGTTTTGGCGTGTTTCTAGTTGTTGCTCGGTCAGCCGTGTGTGGATTTCTTTTTAACACTACTTAGTAGAGCATCAACAGAAAAAATGAATTGAACCATTGAACTATTAACCAGAACTAGAGTACGAATACTTTGATCGTTCCGTAATTGTCATAGAACCTTGATTGTTGCATGAAATGATCGAGACAAGCAATCATATGTTTGAATCTCACATTTTTGTTCCCTAAGGCAAAATTGCGACTCGGTGGTCGTTTTAAGGGGGGGAGACTCCGTGGCCCGTGAGCTGTGTCCGTGCGTTCACGCAAGCAACGCGAACCGTGTATGTATACGCGATGCACGAGAGAGGAGACAATCGATTTTGTAAATTCCAACTTCTGTCTCAATAATTGAACAAATGAACTTTTCACGGATATAGAACTCACGGGTAGACTGTTGCATTCTTACTACATAATTATAATATATCAGCTAGTAAGCAAAAATGAATAGTGTTATGTATGAGAAACACTGCTTTAGTCAAAATGATACAATAGACCGGATGACATCAGACCCATAGGCTTGTAACGTTTTGACCTGAGGGCTGGGTAATAAACTATATGCAGTGCGGGTCTATTTTCTTTCTTAAGTGGACGACTGACACTCTCGGTCGTGCCCTTACAGATTTTTCCTCACTTCGAGTACGATTTCCAAAGCGTTAAGACGTCCTTCCAAGTCAAGAAATAAAAGTAGTAGAAAAAGGATTTATAGTATTTACTATTTGTTTTAACCCATTTCCAATAGGTATATATATGGGCCCAGATCGCGTAGTATAAACATAGATATATAAAAACTGTATATTGTGATGTATAAACGATATTTAAACTTTTGTTATAGCATAAGTGTGATACATTTAGTTACCTTTAGTTTAGTGACATTTGTTTTAGAATTAAGCGTTTAGTGCTTAAGTGTAATAATCAAAATAAAACAATGGAAAACTTAAAGGTAAAAAGAAACATTAACCCTTTTAAAGGCGAAAGATACAGTGTTTGGGAGTTGAGAATACGTGCATGATTAAGTGAAATGGACGCTATTAAAGTTATTTACGATGACATTCCTGAAGTGTTAAGTATTGAGTGGATAAAAGTTGAAAGAGTTGCGAAGAGTGTAATTGTTGAATATTTAACGGACTCATTCTTGGATTTTGTACAAACTGGAAGAACGGCGAAGGAAGTCTTAAAAGGCTTAGACGCAATTTATGAAAGAAAAAGTCTAGCAACTCAGCTAGCATTAAGAAAAAAATTATTAAGTCACAAATTGCAAGGCGATATGCAATTAGTGAAACACTTCACCATTTTTTATGACTTGATAACAGAATTATCAGCAGCAGGAGCAAGACTGGAAGAAATTGACAAAGTATCACACTTACTGTTCACTCTCCCTGCATCGTATGATGGTGTGATTACGGCAATTGAAACTTTGTCAGAAGACAATCTAACAGTATAGCCTTCGTGAAGACAAGATTGTTGGATCACGAAGTAAAATTAAAAATAGAAAATAATTGCACAAGTGCAAAAGTACTTCACGCACAAACATATAGAAAAAAATATACTGAAAATCCAAAAGTATTCAAAAGGAATAACATGAAACAATTTAAAAATTATAACAATAAGGGACAGATAATGAAGTGTCATCATTGTGGGAGACAAGGTCACAAAGTAAAGGATTGTTATTATTATAAAAGGAACCAGCAACATAACGAAGAGAGGAATAGAACAGTGCAAACTATTCAAATTGCAGAACCAAGTGGATCGCAAATGATACTTCTGGCTTTGCTTTTATGGCAGGGAACCATCGAATTGAAGCTACAAATAAATTAACATTTTTACTAGATTCAGGTGCTTCGGACCATATTATGAATAAAGATAATTTTTTCCCGAGTTATATTGTGTTGCAACCGCCGATCAAGATAACAGTTGCCAAACATGGGACCTTCATAACAGCAATGAAGAAAGGACAAATCAACGTCATCAGTAACGTGGGAATTGAGGGTGTACTGGAAGACGTCCTTTACTGTCCAAATGTTCCGTACAATCTATTGTCTGTACGAAGAACGCAGCAAGCAGGGTTATCCATCACCTTCAACCAGGAAGAAGTAAAAATTAGTAAGAATGGTAAAACGGTGATGATTGGTAAGCCCTTAGATAATTTAACAGCGATTGATTTTAAAATTAATTTAAAAAGGGTATACGATAGAAATTCTCAGGTTCACAATGCCATAAGTAATAGTTATGAACTATAGCATAAACGCTTAGGCTACATTGGGAAAGCTAAATTTTTAGAATTGAAAAATAAACAAATGGTCGATGACAGATTATATTGATAAAGTTATACCTACAGAAAATTTATGTGAAGCTTGTATAAATGGCAAACAAGCAAGGTTACCATTTGAGAAAACCAAAGATAAAAGTCGTATAAAGCGACCATTGTTTATTGTTCATTCTGATGCTTGTGGTCCTATCACTCCATCTACAATTAATAATAAAAATTATTATGTATTATTCATAGATGAGTTCACTCACTATTGCGTAACATATTTAATCACCTATAAGTCACATGTTTTTTCTGCTTTTCAAGATTTTGTGGCAAAAGGTGAGGCTCATTTTAATTTAAAGACAATTAATTTATATTCTAACAATGATGGAAAATACTTATCAAACGAGATGAAAGACTACTGCGTGCAAAGAGGTATTAGTTTTCATTTAACAGTTCCGCGAACCCCTCAATTCTATGGTGTTTCAGAACGAATGGTTAGAACAATAACCCAAAAAGCACGCACAATGATAAGCGGTGCTAGCTTAGATAAATTGTACTGGGGAGTGGCAGTGCTTACTGCTACATATTTCATTAATTTAACCCCGTCTAAAGCTTTACAAGTAAATTAAACACCATTCGAGTTGTGGCACGGTAAGAAGCCGAAAATAAAATATTTAAAGGTTTTCGGTTCGACCGTTTATGTACACAATAAAATCAGAATGACCAAATTTGAGGAAAAGTCATGGAAAGGAATTTTAATTGGCTACGAACCGAATAGTTATAAAGTGTGGGATGTGGAAAATGAAAAATTTCTAGTAGTTAGAGATGTAATCGTAGATGAATCAAATTACTTGAAAAATCGACCAGTAATGAGACCTGCAAGGGCAGACAGAAACATCTATAATGAAACTGATACATCTGACATATAGTCAAAATCAGTAGAAATAGATGAAAAGTCTCATAAATCTGATAATGATAAATCAGATGTATTGAAGTCGAGTGTAAAAGTAAGTTCTGAAGTAAAATTAGGGGAAGAACCTAATAAATCTGTAACTGAAACAGATATGCAAAGCAAGTCTTCATCTGAAAATAAAAATGAAAAAATACAAGAGAATTATGAGCCTAGAAGGAGTGATAGGATTAAGCATCGTCCTCCTGTGTCATATAATGAGAGTGACACACAATATGACCTTCTAATGTGTGCACAATCATTTATTAGTCATATTCGAAATTCATATGACGAATTTAAATAAAGGGAAGATAAAATTAAATGGGAACAAGCAATTAATGATGAAGTAAACTCGTTATTAATTAATAAAACTTGGACTCTGGTAGAGAGGATTGTCTTGAATACGAACATTGTCGGCTGTAAATGGATATTTACTATTAAAAATGATGAACACGGAAGTCCATTGAAATATAAGGCACGTCTGGTTGCTCGCGGTTTTAGTCAGGAATATTTAACTGATTACAATGAAACATTTGCACCAGTTGCAAGAATAGCAAGCTTTAGATTTATAGTTGCTTTTGCAAATCAGTTTAATTTATTGATACATCATATGGCTGTGAAGACTGCCTTCTTGAATAGTGAATTAAAAGAGGAAATTTATATGAATGTTCCTCAAGGAATTATGAGCAAAAGCAATCAAGTCTGTAAATTA